AAGAAATTCTTAGGCAAACCTGACTCATGAGAAAATGGATACCTGATGTTAGCCAGGTGATGCCAAAGCCAAGGCTAGTATTGGCACAACTGTTGAATTCTTTTTTTTTTTCTGTCTAGTGTCAAGGCCTGTGTAGTATTGCTAGCTTAAGCTTGGTTTCCCATATAGAACGTAAAATAATAATATCAAGCCATGCGATACATAAGAGAAATCCAAGGCAATTGTAATTTCTTCAAACAAGACTATTTTTGATGCTCTATGAAATAACAAAAATCACATTCAAAGAATGCACTCTTGGCCTGCATTTTCCTTACAATAATTTAGGCAAGTAGACAATTGGCACAGTCTTTTCCAAAGGCTCCTAGATTAATTTTTGGTGACATTGCTAGGAAATGCCCATGAAATATTGTGGGTGTGTGGAAATCATGTATCAGTCTCTAATATACCGTGTAGATCACATCCTACCCTGTGAAAATGTTCTGCTCCCAAAGCCCCTTGGAACTGTGGATGCATTTTTTTTTCTTATAGAACAATGTTCCAATGGATGGTTATCTCCCCAGGCTATCACAAAGGCCTACTAGATTCCCCAAGTGGCTGAAATGGAATGAAAGTGCTCAGAGGGTGTCGAGGCCCTGACTTCAGCCCTTCCAGGAGTGCTAGATAGAGTGTTAAAGTGGCAGAGACTATTACATCCTTTCCTCCCTTTGGAAGAACTTGGCAGCATTTGAATGGAGTGAAGGAGGAGGGTTTTCAGGAGTGGGGGCCTGGTGGGGAAGCGAAGGTCTCCTCTGGAAACAATGGAGGAAAGCTCCATGTTAAAGGGGAAAGGAGGAGACAGGAAACCTCTATTAAATTGTTTATAACTTGGATTGTTTCTGAGGCCAGAACTGACAACTGTGTTTTTGCAACGTAGAAAAGGATGAGATCAGTTCCACAGCCCTCCTCTACATAAAATGGCTAAAAAGATCTCAGTGTACTTTTGGGGGACAGGTAAAGTTCAGGAAATCAGGAGTTGAGATATTGTAAACATTCTTCCAATTTGAAGATTACTGATAGTTATTACTGATGTCCTTTTACCCAATCCTTAACAGTCCTAAGTATAGAAATGGCTCAAATTATTGCTTAGGTAAGCAATTATGTAATAATAATAATGAATAATTATTATTACTATTATTGTTGTTATTGTTCCCGTTAGACAAAGAAAAGTTTTCTCATTTTGTGAGCTGGGCTTTGATCGTTTTTCACATTAGGACATATATTCTTTGAGACCTGGGGTGGGAAATGTCAGGCTGTCTACTTTAGATTTACTGGTGACTGTGGCGGGTGCCAAATGCTTCAAGAAGTTGATGAGTGCATTCTTTTTCTCACTGGCTGATGTTTCTGGAACCAAGATATATTTTCTTGTGTCATGCTTAAAACAGTATGTAACAGAAAAACCTTCAAAAGGCTTATAGTGGATGGATTTATATCATCTGAAAGGTATTTTATGCACCATGTTCCAAAGTTAGGGAAAACAGCTAAGCAAGAAACCTTCTTAAGGCACAGACATTGTCATGGTGTCTGGGTGGGCCTAAGAGTCATGATTTATGGAGGTATCATAAGACTTGCTGGCTCTAAAATATTCATTTTTCAGTGTCCAGAAGTCCCTGCTTTTAGGACAGTCCCGGGAAAACTACTGACTCTCCTAGCCCCAACTTTCCCGCCAAGAACCTTTACCAGGTCAGGTTCAGCATCAGCCTCTGACAAGCAATTGGGCGGCTTCAGTTTTATGTTAAAACTGGCCAGAGCTTTGCTTCCTTTCCATAGTATGTTTATGCTTTATTTAAAATAATAATGCTAGGGGCTGAAGAGATGGCTCAGTGGTTAAGAGCACTGGCTGCTCTTATAGAGGACCCAGGTTCAATCCCCAGCATGCCCATGGCAGCTCATAACTGTCTATACCTCCTGTTCCAGGGGATCTGACACCCTCATATAGACATACATGCCGGGAAAACACCAAATGTGCATTAAGAAAAAGAATGTTACTCATCCTAAGTCCAGATGTTGGCCCTAATTGTATGGTCTTCATGATCTACTTTTCAAAAACTGCCTTGTCTCCCCAGGAGGAAGAGGGTTCTGTCTCCACTCACTGTCCAATTAAGTGGCTCAGCCATTGGCTCTGAGAATGTACAAATGCCCTCTTGCATCAGTGATACATGAATTCATTTGCTCATTGGATGGATTGCTTGATCGGAGGAGTTCACTGTCATTTTGCAAAAGTCAAAGTGCTTAGGCTCTTGGGGTATAAAATTAGAAAATTGATGATAGCACGAAAAGGCTTTAAAATGTGGACTATGACATGGAGAGGGGTACCCTTACATGGGATGAAGGGAATTGGGGATTAAGAGAAGGAGTGGAGTGTTGCTGAGTGAGAGGCAGAGGCAGGTAAGCTTTGCTCAAGGTCACTTCCTTCCCTTCCTTCCTCCCTCCCCCTCCCTACCTCCCCCTCCTCCCTCCCCTTTCTCCCTTCCCTTGCTCCCTCCTTCCCTCCCCTCCCCTCCAACTGCTTTCCATCTCTTTCATCCCTCCCTTCCTTCCATTTCCCCTTTCTTCTCTCCCCTACCTTTTCCCTCTTTCCCTTCATCTCCTCCTCTCCTTCCTCTCCCCTTCCTTTTATGAGCTGCTGGGAAAACCCAGGGCCCCATGCTAGGCAAGTTCTCTACCACTGATCTATCTATACCTTCAGTCTCTTGACTGTGTTCCTAATGGCTCTCAGTTCTTCCGAATCTCTCAATACCTCAGTTCTTCATGTTGCTCCACTCCAACTCCTGGATTCTAGTGGGTGTGTCTCAGGATAAACTGAGTCCAGGATGTTCCCCCACCTGAGTGACTCCACCCACTGTTGTTTCCTGACACAGTTCAGCTTCCCTATTCCTATGAGATTCTGGCTTGTCCTGATGCTGCCAACTTTGCTTGGCAGTTCCAACCAGAGACTGGGGAGCTTTTGTCTTCCTCTCCCCAACTCCTCATGCTTCACCCAGTCGATCAAGAAGTCTAACCAAGCATATTCCGAAAGGATCTTTTATTCTCTGTAGAAACTGTAGTTCATTCAGGAAGCTGAGTACTCAAAGGCTGGATGGCAGAAGGAAGGTATGGGAAGCCAAGAAAGTGATGAGAGACCCAGGGATGACTGTAGAAAATCAGAAGCCACAGCAATATGGACTTCCTTAAAATGTCATGTGCTTGGAACTATGCAAGAAGGGGCCAGCTGTGGGGGCTGAAGTGGTGGTGAGTGAAGCTGGTAGACAGGGTAAGCCTGGGAAACAGTCATTGTGGCCACTCCCCTTTTCCCACTCTCCAAACTCTCTGCCAGTGCTTCTGGTTGAAAAAGGGCAACCAAAACTCTACATAGCAAAGGAGTTCAGTGCTATGAGTCACAGAAGTCAAGTTCCCAGGGCACAGAAAAGGCAAAGATGGGGACGAAAGGGATCCCGCAAGGAAAATAATAAAGGGAGACTAGCCAGCTCATATTAATCTTTTCTCTCCAGTACTTGGAAATGCTGAATGAGTTTAATGCTATCATTTGTTACATGGATGACTGGATTCCCTTCCAAGTTGTCTTAATTGTTTTCCAATTTGTGGCCCAATTCCATTTTATAAACCATCATTTAAAAAAACAAACAATTTTAATATTGGCATCTGGCAACATCTATCTCTTATTTTCAGAAGTAACCATTGTTTGGTATCTGCATTCTCAAGGGTTTTCTTGATATTGATTACACACTTAAAATTATGTCTACATATGCATATGTATATATGTATGCAGTATGTGTCTATGTACATTAAAATGTAGATACATCTGAACTATGTTCATTCCATGGTAAATGAACTGTCATACATACTTATTTAGGCCTTTTCAAACAAATGAGTTCATATTACACATTCTACACCATGACTTATCCTATGTTCTGTGATGTGGTGTGATGATCTGTAATCATTTAGATATTTCTTCTCCACATGAACACCTAGAGAGTTCATGTGTTTTCTAGTGTTAATGTGATATGACACACGGAGTACACAGCAGTCTTTCTGTAGATATAAGCATTTCTCTTTCAGCCTTTCAGTTGTAATCAATAGAAAAGTTAACCTATAGTAGTTTATACAAAAGAGAAATTTAGTAGTTAAGAGGATGGATCTACACTTAGGACCAGCAGCCCAAGGTTTAAGAGCTATCACAGGGAATTGCTCTCTCTACTGTTCTCCATTGCTCCATTTTCTTTGCAGTGGCAAATGGCTGCAGGATCTTTGGGCTTCCATCTTCAAACCTCCAAGTCCACTGGAAGATAGATGGCAACTTTCCCCATGTCTGAATTGATTATTATGGCAGGGATATACTTGTCTTAGCCAAGCCTAGGCACACATTCCTTGTCCTGCCATGTGGCCTTGGGGGTGGGGACCAGATTGGTTCCTCAGACTATTCTTACTTCTGTCACTGGAAGGGGAAAGTAGTTGAAGAGGGAAATAAAGTGTTAAGGGGTGTGCCCATTAAAATTTTGGATAGTTTTCTCAATATTGCCTCAACTCACACCGCCAGTGCCTACAGTATCTGAATGTAGCAGCATCCACATAGTATTAAGATACTAATATTTTCAGCATTTTAAGGTTCAGTGGATATGATGTTTAAGAATGGTGTCTCTTAATTCAGTGTCTCAAATGCCTGGTGACCACCCTCTTATGTGCTTAGCCAGCCTTTGCGTTTCTTCTTCTGTGAACATCTTTCTGTGAAAGACGGTAATATCTTTTGGTTATGGTTCAATGTGGTAGTGTTTTTCTTCTTGTTTGTTGTACCTCTTTAGATATTATGGAGATTAGGAGTGTGAGTTCCTAGCGAGCAAGATCTCACTGTAATCCAGGGTGTCACCTCCTAAAAAGTAGACATTGATGACATTTGCCATGTGAGTGAATAAATAAGAAGTACACAAATGAATGAGCTAAGAGTTTTCTCTTTTTATTTGTGTTAGGCTTCAGAGGACTATGCTGCTTCACGTATACTTTCCTTGAAGATTTTCCTGAACCTCTAAGGAAGCCTTTCATTAAGCTGGGAAGAGCATGTGGATGAAGCTGGAGGAGAAGTGTTCTGCACTGCCATTCAGAACTTTCCTCTGTGCTGCCCTGTGTTCCTCATCCTGTTGATGGGAGCAAATGGCCTACTAGGGTGACTCAGCCTCAAGAGCTCACATCCCATCCCTTTGAAGTGTCAACTCCGGAGCCCTGTGAAGCTCCCATCTGCCATCAGAGTCGGCCAGTGCATTCCCTAGTTAAACATCCACGCAGGATCTCATAGGAACTTGAGAATCATTGTTTTTGGCTGGAATCCTGGGTTTGAGGTTTCTTTGTGTATGATTCTGAAAAAAAGGATTTGGAAATGTTGTTCTCCCTAATACCAAAGTATATATTGTGGGCATGGGGGGAGTGTCTTCCTTGCTATCCACCTTATAATTCAGGCAACTGAGTCCGTTTCACACAAGTGCATTCATTCCTTTGATGAAGTCCGGAGATACCAATGCAGCAGACAGAATACCTGAATGTTAATCCCAGGTTTGTTAGATAAGTTATTCACCCTTGCAGTTCCATTTTCCTTATCTGAAAACACGAAGCTTAGGAGTGACGATACCTATGTTCTTGCCAGCCCTATAATTCTGAGTGGAATTCTGAAATCTGCTCTGCCACCAACATTGTGTCCCAGGAGCTTTGCCCATTACTCATGAGAATGTCAACATCTGGGTAAACAGATATTTTGGGGTCAGCTCTATAAAGCTCAGAAGTACGTATTGCATGTTGATTTTGGCACACAGACAAGCCTGAGTAGGGTCGTGTCAAGCATTTTACCACGCTAACTGCTGAAAGGCAGACCAATCATGGCAGTCTGGGTGAGCAGCCTGGGATGAAGAGTACTGGGCTAAGTTTCATGGCACAGAAGACCTCCAGGAAAAGTGAGGGGGGGGAGGTCTGGGGATGGATCTAGAGATCATCAAGACATTATTAGTATCCATGTTGGAAGTGGCTTGCGATACTATGTCAAAGCTACATTCTCAGACAACAGCAAAAGCTGTAAATAGATCCACGCAGCTTTCCAAGCATAGCAGAATAAAACTAAAGGAAAGCCAAATTAAACAGGCCCAGCCAACGCTTCGAGTGAGAATGTTGAGTATTGCTCATGCTTCTAGAAAGAGTGGTCTCCATTTAGAATACTTGTGAGGGGGGTCCTTTGGAGACAACCAACCCCATCCTCCTAGGAGGAGTCAGAGCTGCAGAGGCGCACCAGAGGCAAAGCCCCTTTCAAGAGGGAGGTCTTATGCTTCAGAAAACTGAGGATTTGTTGAATGTTACTTTAACTGGCATGTGTCTTAAAGAAAAATATGTTAGGTTCCAAGACCACATGACTGAGAATCTTAAGATGACCAAGAATTATTACATTATGTTAGAATATCCTCTTTTTCATTTCGTCATAATTTTAAACTCACAGAAAATTCATAAGAGTTGTACTGTTCCTATATATCATTAACAATTTTCTTCCTTTTTTAAAACCAATTCTCCTTGTTTTCATTTCCTCTCCTTTTCATATATGTTTATTTCATGTGTACATTCATAAATGCATTTCCCCCCAGAACTACTGTTTAATAGTAAATTATAGACCAGATGATTTTTTACTTATAAATGTTTCACTGTACATTTTTCTAAAAATAAAGATCAACTATGCTACCATTACCTAAAGCAGAAATGAATATTGCCGTATTATCGGTGTTTGATTTTCAACTTGTATCTGTTTCTCCCATTTGTCCCAATCCTCTGCTGCAGAAGGAAATTCTGGATGCACCATGTGCTGTATTCAGCTGACATGTCTTCAGTCTAGTGTTCAATCGGGAAGAATTTCTGGAGCTTTGTGTTTCATGGTATTTTTGATGAATATAGGCCAGCAATTTTGTGGAATGTCCCTCAATTAGGATTTGTTTGATTTAGCAAAATTTTCTCCTTGCTCCATGAGCTGCTTCACTGGGATCTGATTGGCTGCAGGAAACATTTTCTCCAGTTTGGCAGTGAAAGTCTTCTGCAAACTTTCCTTCTTGTTTTGGGGCCTTTCTCACCATCCCTCTTAGACATGGCCTATCTGCAAGTGATGTGTGAATTTTGCTTGTCATAAACTGTTACCTGTGTATATAGTGATGAATGAATGTGACAAGATAGAATCCTCTTTTTTTTTTTTTTTTAGAATTAAATGGTAAAAACTTAAGCTACATTAAAAATAGCATTAGATTTATAGAGTATAATTTAGATTATTTGAAAAACGAAATTGTATTGTGGACACATCTGTTTACAAATTAATGTCTGCAGTTTATGAACTTTCCCTTTTGTTTGATTTATAGGGGGGTTTGCTATGATATGAGTCCAGTTGGATGGGTTTCATTATTTAGGCCCCCAAACAGGCTTACTCTCAAGCAGGCTCTTTTAAAAGTTGGTCCCATGGTAGGAAGCACAGAAATGACAATGTTGTGATGTTCCTGTGACTCTAAGTAGGATTTATCATGTTTGAAGACCCCACTTTACATTGTCAAAGCAAGGAGAGCAGAAGACAATGGGATGGTGTGGGATGAGAGTGCTATCCAGTCTTTCACCTGCTTCTTGCAGTCAACTGAGGGTTTCCAACTTGGACACCAGACAAACCTGGCAGCTGGCTGAGATGCTCTCTAGGGAGAAACATGGAATCAGACTCTTCAAGGTACAGTAGTAGTTAAAAACTGCCGAGTGAGAACTATAAAGAGTCCCATTTGTGGCAGGAAGGAGGCAAAGATAAACTAAGATTTGTTCCATGTAATTTCATTTCCCCTTTTGAGTCTATTTCAGGCTACATAGAACTGTGACCATGTTCCATCTCAAGGCCTCTCAGGAAGGCCAAGCAAACGCCACTTGGTCAGGTTGTGTGTACCCTATCTAAAACGGGCTCAGGAGTGCCACTTCTGTTTTGGAGTCTGTCAGATTTTGCAATGTTTGCCCCAACCTCACTGGTTGAGTGTCACTAACTTAAAAATATTAAAATATAAAACGTTGTATAATAAGATTTTTAAAGCGTAATATTGATATTCCAAGAATGTTGGGTTTCAGATTTAAATTTTGGAGTAGGGGTGTCCAACCTGTACTTAGTTTGTGTCATGTGATGCCTATCTGAAATGACCAGCAGTGTTCCTATGTTCTTAAGATTCCTTACAGAGATTTTGTGGAGGCTTACTCTTTTCATTTATACTCTGCTTTTCTACCTAAACACTAACATTCTATATTTGCCTCTTTTTCTTCTTCCTAAAGGTACATTTTAGTGATTTGTTTCCTATTAACACAAGTATATTGTCTCATCTTTAATGACCATATGCTTTTCTATTGTATTCCATTGAGTTATTTAAGTAGTTCCTTATTGGTCATTCATTACATTCAGTTGTTTCCAATATTTTGATGTCACAGGCAATTCTATGCTTCTTTGTTGACCTAAGTACAGATGTGTCTGTAGAATAAATACCTCCAAATATGTCTGGATTAAATTGGTGCCATAATTTGGATATTGAATATTCCTCAAAGGTCCTTGCTGAAGCTTGGCCCCCAGGGTGACACTATGGGGAGGTGGTGGAAACTTCAAGAGGTGGAGCCTTGAGAAATCTTCAGGTCATTGGGAATTTGGGAATCCCAGTTCCCACATTGGTCTCTTTGGCTTACTGACCACAAGTTGGTTAGCTTTGCATTGTGGTCCCCTTATGACTGTTTCACCACCACCCCCAATCAGTGACCTTTAGACTCCGAAACTGATCTGAAGCCAACCTTTTCTCTCTGTAAGCTCTTTCCTTAGGGATTTTGTTGTAGTGTCAGAAGACAGACCCAAAGGGTGAGTGCTGTTCAATGTGGAGCTATCTGAGTGAGTTTGAGAATGGTTGAAATTCAGTGCTATTGACTAGGGAAAATAGGACATGTGTGCACATGTGTAACCACTCATCCATGTCCTCTAGTCTAGCAAAGTGAAGGTGTGAGTTATGACAGAGGAAGAATAAAGCATTACTCTTCTAGACCCAGTGACTAGTCATTGATATGGTCCATGAAATTTGAATGTTAAGTGTCCATTTTTTGGGGGGAGAAGGTTCATCACCTTCCCATGGAGAGGAAGTACCATCAATACTTAATCTGGGAACACATAGTCCTGAAAAAGTCTCTTGGAAGCTAGGTCTTGGATCAGACTGTGAAGCTGGAAGCTTCAGGATGAAGGAACAAGTTAAGAGACTAGTAACTAGTTCATCAAAGCTGGTTGGTTACAGTGAAAATAACCCCCTGTTCAGATAAGAGCCCGGTGTCTCAGTGGCTCTGTCCTCCTGTTTCTCTTCCACCAACATCAAAGAGACAAGGCAGACAATGAAAGAGTTCTGTCTCATAAACTCAAGAGTCCTTTCCTGGACAAGTTGTCCCATTCCTTGCAAACAACTCTCCTAGAGCCCCAAACCATTAACATCATTTCCTACGCCAGAGTCGCCAAGCAGTGGGTGATGTTCCCATGAGAAACTGGGTGTTTGTTTCACTAGGGAAAGATAAACAAACTAGATAGGATCTCTGTATCAGGGCATTATCCCCTTCCCCATCCTTCTGCACTTAACACATTAAGCATTTCCTCACACTTAGCAGGTATGGAAAGGTGAGAATAAGGCTAAGAGAAAATATTGAGCTGCCCAAGAAGATATAAAGACCCAGAGTAAAGAAAAAGCTGTGACTTCCCATTCATGCATATTTATTTTCTCACCAAGTAACACTGAAGAGAGACCTGTCTTCCTGATCTGTTGTTTCTAGGATTCAGGGAAGAAAACACACAGTGGCTGAAACAGAGTCATGAGTTTATTTCCAGCTAGTCAGTCTCTGGTTAAATGACCACAGGTTCATCTAATGAGGTTCAGAGTTTACATTTATAAAAAAGGCATAACACCAACACATATACCTCAAGATCATATAGGTTAGAAACATGGCATATTCTCAACATATACCAGCTAGCCAGTAACTGTTGGAGGTTATTAGTACTAATCCCAAAGAATTGATTGCGTTGTAGCTTGGTTATATCAGAGCCAGAATTAGCACACCATTCTCTCACTCCTGTTCTCTTTGTGTCCTTGGGTTAGATGTGGCCTCTTTATATGCAGACATAGCCCAGTTAATTGCATTGCATAGTGAGAAAATGCAATGCAGCTGCACACAGCTGGAAGTAAGGCTACTGGTTTTTATAGCTTGTTTCTTGACCAACAGCATCAGTGTTACCTGGGAACTTGTTAGGAACACAAATCCTCAGGACCTACCACAGACCCAATCTATCAAACTCTCTGGGGATGAGTATAGCAACCACCTGAGGTAGTACTGACACATGCCAAAATGCGAAAGCCACTGGCTTAGGCTTCAGGTTGCCACTGAACATCTCCATTCCACACATGGAGAGCTTGTATGGAAGAAGAAAGCCAAATGGCATGTGGGTAGCTCATAGCCAAATTCAGTGAATGACTGCACAGTCTTGCCTCTTCTTGAATGCTGTCCTATACGGCTGGGAACAGGCTGTCAGGGTGCAAACATTTCCTTTTCTCTCCCAGCGTCTCTCCCACAAGACACAAGGTAGTTCCTGCCTAGGCATCTCAGATTACCATTCCTTCCCCCAAACCAATGAAAAGTCTCTAATCCCTCCCGTGTTTACTTAAAGGATGAATTTGATCAGAAAGGATGAATGGGGAATGCAAAGTCCTAGAAGGGCTTGGGAAAAAAAAAACTTTCTTCTCCAGTGGTGGGAACACACCCTTTCTTACTAAGCTTATTATGAACTGGTGCATTTTAAAATTACAGTTGTGGATCTGCTGGCCTCTTTCATCAAAGCCCTGTATTGTGTTTTCAAAGGCAGCTCTGACCTTACCCTTAGTACACAGACTTTAGCAGTATTTCCCCCGGGAGCACATGGGAAATACTCTTGCAGTAATGGTCTGAATCCACTGTGCCATATCTATCTTGTGGGTTATTAGTAGTTCAACATCAGCAATTTCTGATGGTTTTATCTAACATATGCACTCACATTGGCTTACACAGGACTCTTTCTTTTAGCTTTACTTGAAACCAAAGGCATATTCTTTTTAATAAGGACTTTTGGAAACAGTAAATCTCCTCTTTTGTGGGACCATCTAGAGTTTGCCACTTCTTGGCTGGGCCCTTGTTTATTTCCCTTACCTACCCAAGCTACATATTCTTCACACGTAAACAGAGGTCCTGTTCTGGTTAGATTGCTCTGGGTCATGATGAGGCATCATGCAGTATCTAAAATGCTGCCTAAGTTTGAGTTGCTTATGGATGCTTCTGTATCTAGGCTGGAGATAACACTGTTGTGTTAAAACATCTCTTTCTTTCTGTTCTTCCTGCCAACTCTCTTGTCCTACCTAACATTCGTGGTGAGCCTCTAAGATCTGTCTTACATAGAAATGGAGGGAGGTGAGCACAATTTTTACTAATTACACGTGTTTTGTAAAGCAATTTCACACATGCACAGAATACATGCTTATCACTCTCATCCCCAAATACCTACCACTCTAGTGAACTCCAAATCCTCCCCACAAATCTCTCTGTCCCACTCACACCTATTCACTG